TATTTTCCAGTTTAGAGATTCTACAAGAGAACCGAGTTTTATCAATATGGTCCAAAACTCTCGCATTAATAAGTGTGAAATTGTCCCGTATTTTTTTTTACAGTTTATGTTTCCTGGTTACACCAAGTTAATGAACTATTTTCCAGTTTAGAGATTCTACAAGAGAACCGAGTTTTATCAATATGGTCCAAAACTCTCGCATTAATAAGTGTGAAATTGTCCCGTATTTTTTTTTTCAGTTTATGTTTCCTGGTTACACCAAGTTAATGAACTATTTTCCAGTTTAGAGATTCTACAAGAGAACCGAGTTTTATCAATATGGTCCAAAACTCTCGCATTAATAAGTGTGAAATTGTCCCGTATTTTTTTTTTCAGTTTATGTTTCCTGGTTACACCAAGTTAATGAACTATTTTCCAGTTTAGAGATTCTACAAGAGAATCGAGTTTTATCAATATGGTCCAAAACTCTCGCATTGATAAGTGTGAAATTGTCCCGTATTTTTTTATTTTTTTTCAGTTTATATTTCCTGGTTACACCAAGTTCTTTGCAAATATCCTGATTTATATGTATGCTGAACAACAGGGAATCCTTAATATCCGCGACAATTGAAATTCTCTTAGGCAGGATTAGAGTAAATTAATCTACGAGACCTTTTTTTTCCTTTTATTAGCTATATTTTTGGTTGTCAGCAATACCAAACGTGGGGAGCGTGCGCATATCCGATTCGATTTTACTACTCATCAGGATCTCTATCAGACTACCTTCAAATTGAAATTATTTTAGGCAGGATTAGAGTAAATTAATTCACGAGATCTTGGGTGTGGTCAAATACATCAATCCAAAGGGTTTGATCTCCTGAGTTCAAAACTGTAATTAGATTTCAAATCGGTTAAGAGATGAAATAGGTATGAGCTAAAAGTTTGTACTTGAAAAACTCAGAGCCACTCTAGAAGCCGCTATGCCGCGGCTAAAATGGTCCAATTACGAAAAGTTTAAAATGATTTAATTGAGTTTTGAACTAATTTACTAAACAGTTGAACGTTCGATAAACAGTAACAACTATTTGTTTTGAATTACAAAAAATATAAAAATCAAAAACTAGTAATCAGTTTATTTCATTTACTTCAAAGGTGCGATATATATACTGTAGTATCATTGAAGTATGATATTCTATAGAGATAATCATGGCTTTATTACAGCAGATTTTTGAAGTGAATAAATAGCAGGAATACAAGCAAAATACCATTTACGCTACTTTTTTTCAATCTTAAAAGTATTTGTTTTATGGTTGTGAATGTTCTTAAATAATTAAGCCAAATTGTAAGATACAAAACTGTTAACTCTAAATTACCCCTCACACCTTTTTCAGAAACAAGGAATAAAATTTCTTATACATCCTGATAAGCGTATTTCATTAAATAAGAATACGTAAAATATTTTTCATGATAATTTTGTGACTTTCTTTTTTATTAATATTTATAGAAATAATGTGTTTACTCTGTTTTACAGCTTCAAGGAAACTAAACTATCAAAAATATATTCGTAATGTAGATTATTTTGATGTGCCTTTACTTTTTTAATTGCCTCTTCTTTTTGAATGTCTTTCCTTTTAAAGTGCTTTTCCTTTTTTTGAAGTGCCTCTTCTTGTTTGCCATTCAAAGCCCTTTAGGGAAATAATTTTATTATGTAGTTTATTTGTTTGTTTCAGAATCTTCGGTAAAGGTTCACAAAAGACTACCTGTGCATAACCGTCCTTATTTTGTAGTGATAAACTAGAGGGAAGGCAACTAGTCAACAGAACCCATCGCTAACTCTTGAGCTACTCTTGTCTAATCGAGCATTGGGGTTTGAAAATCATTCTTATGACGCACCCAAAGTGCAAACCATACTTTTGCTGAGAATCATGAACTATCGGCTTCGCCGTTCGACCACGCCAACCAAACGGCCACGCTCGGCCCTACCAGTAAGAGGAACAGTATATAATAAAGAATAAGCCACACATAAAGATCCTTACTTCAGAATTTTACAATATAAGTTTATTTGAAACGAAAGATGCTACAATAGCTATTTCTTTGCAACCCGTTTTATATACTTATATATGATATCTTTTATTTTGTGATTTAGTTCCTTAAACTATTCAACTTTCAGATTACAATTTAAAGTTTGCAAAAGCTTTGTTTTTAACTTTTCTATTTTGTTGTGACATGCTTTTTTTATAATGGATGTTTGAGTACAAGAAAACAGATCAAAGGAAACATGGATTTTACAGCATAACAATCTGTACCGTTAGTGTAATAATCGATAACGTTAAACTATTTTTACATAACACATTGAAATAAATTCTTATCTAAAATTACGTCATGCTTTTCTTTCAAACATACCGCGGAAATTAAGCATACCTTAATTTCGATTTTTCACTATTTTATTTCTCAGATTTGATATTCTAATAACGTGACGTCACGCACGAAAAGCTTCTTTTCTTAAACCATGTTTTGTTTTGGTCAGACTGTGCAATATCCTTATGCACAACATAGTCTGTGGACTTCCTTTAAGTAAAGGAAACGCATATCTACACTACTTAAGTTTCAGTCAGGAGATGATGATGGATCATTGGTCAAAAATAAGATTTCTAATATAAGATCTTTCACACCTGACTCCCCCCCCCCTATTTTTACCGGATGACCGTAATTCGTATTTAGGATTAGTAAAACTAGGTAAGAAATATCGCAAAAATATAATGCTGTCAGGTATAAATGGTTGAGTATTTAAAACTGAATAGTCTAGTATGCACTGTATTTTCTACGGAAACGGTCTGATATACATACTGAACTTTGGTCTCGTGACTAGGGCGTCTCAAATCAACATGTTTGTTTAATTGTAACTAGTATTTTTGTCACGGGAAGTTATTAGATTTTCTGACGATGATGTGTGGAAAGGGAAGTTTAATAGCTAAAATTTTCAGTATCTTTAATAAAGTAACTTTTTATCCCTCTTCTGTAAAGGGTACAAAATGCTTCGAAGAGAATGCATTGAATTTCCCACAATAGAGGAATATACAATATTATCTAAGTAAGCGTCAATTTTCTTATACATCTAACACTGCTAGGTCTTTGCCTGGACAATATTTTATGGAAGGCATGATTACGAAGACTGAACTTTTCAAAGTGAAGATACAACTTTTTAGTTTATTTTACCTTACCGTGACATTATCAGGTACATGTTTATGTCGTATGCATATCTAAAGCTCTTTTTGTTTTTGCGGCATATCAAATATTTAATTATCGAACGTACACAGCGACCTTTTGTAGTATGTTGCTTTTTTTTTTGTGTGTGTGTATTCTCAGCGGTTACCCTGACTATCAAAAATCACATTAGCGTTTGTATGCTTTTGATGTCTATTTAAAGCAAGATAAAAGTTTGAAAAAACTGACCCGATCTACTAACCTAGTTGTTGGAAATTCGGAGAAGCAGATAAAATTCAAGTCTTACGATGCTAAGAAAAAGAATTATATAATGAATGTTATTAAGAACAATTATATTTCGCATAAAACTCTCTACAATAAGTACTAAACAATGAAATAAACACCATTATTGTTGTACAATGTTTACGATTACCTCAAGAACCAACTAGTACAATATATATTTAAATATGATAATTCAAAATAGTACAAAAAAGGAAAGCTTAAGTGACTGAATAATTATTACGTCATATGACTTAATAATTATTATGTCATACTTGCTCGTGCTTCTTTACGAACACTGTAAGACGCTTTTACTTTAAACATAAATTTTCATTCATTTGGCACAAAAACTCTTCCCTTTTGCTTGTTCTCTTGCTTCAGTACCAATACATGACAAAAGAGTTCTATAACTCGGATATTATTATGACGTCACAGAAAGTCACTAGATATACTCAGAATTATCTAGTCACGAAGGCTGAATGGTGAGCTACTGGGTTACCTGCAAGTAATGCTCATTATAAGCCATGAAAACATTTTTATATATCGAGAGAAACAAATAATTTAACAACGTACAAAAGTAAGTTTTGCAAAGTAAATAGTTACGTTCGGGGCTTAGGAAGTGAATTTCGTACACTTAAATATAATTAACACCTTTTCTAAACACTTTCAAGAAGTCATCCCAATCGACGATGCTGATTGGACACCGGTTGATTAGGAAAACACTTATTTTTCCGTTTACAAACGCCACGTTTAACACAGTAATTTCCATTAAAATAAATTAAAATTTAACTGTCAGTAGCATTTTCCGCGTTCCCTTCATTGTTATCCAAATAGAGTTTCAATTTTTAGAGAAAACATAGAACAAGCATCATATTGACGCAGCTTTAGAGAATGTGAAATATTAGCAAGAGATTCTTAACGCGTTTAGAGAGGAATTTTTCGGTATCCAAAGACAACATTATAAATTTTGGCTTCGTCTTAAATGGTCTAATTAGATGTTATCTACATATCAGGTGATTTTTATGTTAGGGCCATCTATGTAATGTAATACACTAAGTACACGAATTTTTGAGTATTCCATTATAAACATTGCTCCATAAGGTCATCTTTTCATCCACAGAAACGCAAGTATATATTTTCAGCCACAGTGAAAGTAAACGTATTTTCTGACTTTTGACTAAACTTCGAGAATTTGAATTCAAGCCTTACGTATCGTGAATCAAACTCTTCGCCGTTTTTAGTCACCAGTTTTCATTTTTCTAGAGAAGAACTGTTCAAACATTCCTTTCAGTAATCCGTCCAACGAAAAGTGCCATATTTTTAAATAAGATAATCCTTCAGTCTAAAAGCGTTTTATTGTTCAGTGGTAAAAACTCTGTCAGTTTTAGAATATTTTCTGGAGTAAAGTATCGATCGAATAACAACCCGCCGCCACTACAGTTATACAAGCCCTGCCTTTTCCCGCCCAGGTCTCGTAGATGTTCAATAGACTGAAATACAGCTTGTCAACATGCTAAACAACAACAGCAACTCTAGTAGGACTTGTCCAAGTATATGGTTTACAACGTATCTGATACCAGCGTTTTTAGCTGTAAAAGAAAGAAACGACATATTATCAAAGTCACAGTCAAATCACACAACAACTTTTAGCAAATGAGTTATTACTGGTTGTATTCCTTCGTGATTATACAATCTTGAACAGAAAAGTTAATACCCGGGATAATGATTTTATTTACAGTCGTTATGTAAACTTCTAAATGGAATGGAAAATCATATTGATATATATATGCCCAATACATGAAGTTATTTTGCTAGAAACCGAACATAATATCTGTTTAGTTTAGAAAAACAGAACAATATTTTGACTTTTTTTCTAAATTATAACTTCTAACGTACAACTTGTCATAAAATAATTTACCGAAACGTGCTGAAGAACAGCTCAAAAGTTTGTTTTAACTTATTTTTTGTAAGATTGGAGAAAGTCTTAACACATTCTAAGGACGTAACTTATCAAAACCATTAAAGTTTCTTGAATCTCACAGAATCAGGGAAAATAAACGTGTTTATTATCACCAATTTGCTGAAACTGAACAAACTCCTATCACGCTCTTATATTATTTGGCTTAAATAAATCCTTGAAGGTCTTTGAACAACTCTTATGATTTAAACTTTTACTGAGTTTGAATCATGGCAATCTGGACTCATTGATCATTGAATATTCGCGTTTGTAGAGAAGGAAGTAGATCAAAAGGAAAGCTACTATTGTCAGATATTCACTGGGTCGCCACCAATAACTTAATGTGAATACACTTACACGGATGTGGCTGTAGGTCAGGTTTCTGCCGAGGACGTCGGTCACTCAAGCCTGTGTAACTCAAGTTTTCTTCTTTCTTCTTGGAGTCAAGTCCTTTGGCTAGAAAGCCCAGAAACAGCATTAATTTGAAAAAAAAGACCGATGTTTTTAATTGGAGGTTTTAGAACTTTGTTTTTATTCTTGAGTTATCCAGAGATCCTAATTCAACAAGGAAAAGTGCACACTTTTATTAAAGTCACAGTCCAATCACACAGCAATCTTTAGCACGTGAGTTACTATTGGTTTATCCCTTCATGATTAAAAACTTGAAGATAAAAATGTGTAACCGCAATAATGATTTTATCTACGTGTAAAATTGCATATTTGTCACTTACGGCGTTAGGAAATGTCATTAAAATTCAATAACTGAGCAAATATTTCGAAAAGTCACTTTTAATAACTCGAAACAACATAACTCTGTAACGATGACCTGTGTGTCATAAAAAATAATCCAATAAAAATCGCACTAATTATTAGTTCTTTAAAGTTATCTCAGAATACACTGTTAAGAAGACTATGTAGATAATTTAGAAAGTTCGGGGTTCTCCAGGTTTCCAGAACAATTAATCAAGGAGAAATAAATGTGCATGAATATATTCGTTTGCAAACAGACCTAACCACCCACTCGCCATGGCTTTAGAGGATGAATTGTGCCTATTCATTTTTGCAAGTCTTATAACATTAAAGTAACAGGAATAGTGTGGAACCAGCCATTTAGTTAAATGAACAAAAATTTACAGCCATTTTATGAAATTAGTGGAATCAAAACGCTGTAACTAAAAACACCTGGACTCTTATGGTAGTAAAACTTCTGCATGACAGAAACTTAACGGTGCTAGTCCAACAACATAGTAAACAAGCACTCCAACATGAAAAGCAAAAAAAGAGGACCTCGTGTTTTAACGGCCTTCATATCAGATAATACACTGAGGTTCATATTTACTGTACGCTAGCAAACGGAACAACAAACCTGATGAATTTTGAACTTTGTCTTTTAGAGAATTGGATGTTGGTAAATCCACAGATTTTCGTCCCTGCGAGCTGAAGTTTTTGCTTTCATGAGACCCTAAAAGGAAGTTTACAAGTTATACATTAAATTTTAATAATAGAACACCAAAGTTATAGATCAACTTTTAATGATATAACACCAAAGTTATACATCAACTTTTAATCATAGAACACCAAAGTTATACATCAACTTTTAATGATAGAACACCAAAGTTATACATCAACTTTTAATCATAGAACACCAAAGTTATACATCAACTTTTAATGATATAACACCAAAGTTATACATCAACTTTTAATGATATAACACCAAAGTTATACATCAACTTTTAATAATAGAACACCAAAGTTATACATCAACTTTTTATGATATAACACCAAAGTTATACATCAACTTTTAATCATAGAACACCAAAGTTATACATTAACTTTTAATGATATAACACCAAAGTTATACATCAACTTTTAATGATAGAACATCAAATCTCAAACAATGTAATTCTCGAGGAAAAGCAGAACTTTGTCATCGAGGGGTAAAGAACGATGCCTACTCATTGTGATCAATGAGGTTAAGATAGTAATTTTCGTTACGTCGCACAACAATATCAAATCTAAAAACGTAGTTACTATTATTTATAATAGTTTTCGTTTGTTTATTTGAAGTTAAGCACGAAGTTACACAATGGGCTATCTGCGCTTTGCCCAATAGTTTTCGTAGACTTTATTCCCTTGTTTTATTTTTATTTTAGACTTCTCTTTGTCACATATAGTATAGACATACCAATAAACAATTAAATATACAAAATACGAGGTTCCCACGAAGCTTAATCAGCTTATTTTGGAAATAATCCTTAATCACTGTGACCATAAATTTCTGTGTGAATCAATAGATGTAAATAAACAAAACACAAAACTATTATTCATAGTAGTTTTCGTAATTACTGTTATTAATAATAGTTTTCGTAGTAACTGTTATTCATAATAGTTTTCACAGTTCTTGTTATTAATAATAGTTTTCGCAGTTCTTGTTAAATAATAGTTTTCGTAGTTCTTGTTAAATAATAGTTTTCGTGGTTACTGTTATTAATAATAGTTTTCGTGGTTACTGTTATTAATAATAGTTTTCGTAGTTACTGTTATTAATAATAGTTTTCACTGAGTTTCGATCCAAACAAGACAGAGGTATCTGATACAAACGTCGAAATGAGCAATAAGTATATAATGGAACATATTCGTTACTACCAGGGTGTAATGACAACATGAAATAAGCAAACAACAAATGCGACGAAACACAATAAACTTAGTCACTTGATAACGTGTGAATGCTATAAATCAGTTATTCTATAAACTATTTTGAGTAATAGCCAAAGCATATTTCACGTTTATCCTGATGTTAAATGAATAATGTGTCGATGGTGAACATGAATTGAGAAAATGACGGACGCCTTTTCTACGATTTGTCCATATATATAATTAACATTATTTACATTGCTTACCTTATTTTCTGATTTAGAGTTTATCAAATGTTTTGTTTGTGTATATATTTTTTCTAGTCTATAAGTGATACACCAATTCAACCACACTTAGTGATGCAGCGCCCTCAGTCATTCAAGCGTCACATAAAATACTGGTCTTACGTAACGTTGAGATCATTTGATTTTTAGAACAATTCGTCATTTGTTAATATGTATATAAATATATTAAAGTGACCTCATATTAGAAATTTATGTTTATCGATTTTATACATTTAGATGGGAATCAATGTTTCCACCTCAAAAAGTGAGATTTTGAACATGAGTTACAAGTCCGTTTTAACGTGTATACATGGACAACAAGGGTTTTTTGCAAAATGTTCGATTTATGATTTACATCAGCCAAACAAAACGTACTACAAAAAAGATGATTAAAAGCCATAAATTCGTAAAATTTTGTATTTATTTTTCATAATTTCGTATTCTTTATTTAATTAGAGTTCAGCATATATTTTGAGAGTAATATTAGAATATCTGAACGTAGTTTACTTTGTTCCTGTAAACCGATTATCAAAATACCTCTTCTGACTATAGGAACAAAACACAATAATAACTTTTTTCTTTTTACTTTTCATGCAAGTTATTTATGTTTGTTTTTGTTTGTTTTGAATTTCGCGCAAATCTACAGGAGGGCTATCTGCGCTAGCCGTCCCTAATTTAGCAGTGTAAGAATAGAGGGAAGGCAGCTAGTCATCACCATCCAACGCCAACTCTTGGGATACTCTTTTACCAACGAATAGTGGGATTGACCGTCACATTATAATGCTCCCATGGCGAGTCGAGCACCCTAACCACCCGGCCATGCCAGGCCAGTTATTTATGAAAATGATTATCTACATGAATTGTAAATATGATTTCATTTCACATTTATCGGCAATTTTTTATAGAAAAACATAGAAACAAATAACCCAGATGAATAAAACAATACTGAAAGAAAATATATTGTTGACATCCGATGACAAAATTATTGTGTGTTGACGTATTGTTTTCCTTTTGTAACAGTAAGACTAGAGGGTCACTCAGTAGAGCGTTGATCATATTCGGTTCTCAAAAAAATAGGGAAATGTGTCCGTATTTCCATCGTTATGAACGGACACGGACCATTTTCAGCAGGACAATGAGAAATAATATTCTATATAAGTCCAAAAAGTTTCATCAAAATCTGATCATTTTTGACTGAGGTATAGAGCAAAAATAGTGTGAAAAATCGGCCCTCATGTTAACAGATAGGGAGTTTTAGGATTTTCATAAGCTTGTTGTAACCTTGACCATCCAAGAACTATTATCTACTAAGCTGGGTCACAATCCAAATGTACACCAACTTTCGTCCAAATCCATTCAGCCGTTTTCGAGAAATCTTGCTGACAAACACACATACACAGACAGCGGTGAAACATACCCTCTGTTCAACTAGCTAGTTAATTATAATAATAACTATAGCATTACTATCAGAAAAAACAGTTTTCCGGGATTTAAATATACATAATTCTAGTTCATTAGGTAGGAATAGTAATATTAGCAGTCGTCTCTGCTGAGCGCGTGCTACAGAATCTGATTCATTCAAGAAACATGTGCTTTTGGCGGCCTCTAGTGGCAAACTTATCTAACCTGTTTCTGTTACATGACATGGTACGAAATGACTTTAATTTTAACGTTGTGGCTTCCCTCTAATATGCTATATTAGTTGTTAAAATTTCATGATGTCAAATTTCTGACATTTATAGAAATATGTTACCATGTAACACGCCATGCTTTTCTATGCGACAAGTTTGTACTCATGGTGCTACCTATCACATTCCGTGTGTTAATAATGGCTGGAGACGGCTTGAATGGGTAATGAAGAAAAACTTTAATACAAGTTATACATAACAGCAAATGTACAACGTTTCGACAAGGTTTTGTCATCATCAGGTACCTGATGAACTGCTACGTGAATTCTTGTGGTTACTTCAAGGTGTAACACAGTCCTTGTAATCAAGAACTGCTACGTGAATTCTTGTGGTTATTTCAAGGTGTAACACAGTTGTTGTAATCAGTAACTGCTACGTGAATTCTTGTGGTTATTTCAAGGTGTAACACAGTCGTTGTAATCATGAACTGCTACGTGAATTCTTGTGGTTATTTCAAGGTGTAACACAGTCGTTGTAATCATGAACTGCTACGTGAATTATTGTGGTTA